CTAGGGGCTCGTGGGCGCAGAGGAGCCGTGCAGAGCTGGGGCGTGAGCTGTGGGGACCCTGGCACCCTCTGAGGCTGATTCCCAGGTGGCAGAGCCACCGCCGGCCCCGTGCGAGGCAGCTCCAGGCAGGTGCTCTGCATGGCCCACATTGGTGTGGGCAGGAGCCAGGCGCGGGCCCGGCACCATTCTGGCCTGTTCCTCGCCGGCCACAGGCTGGAGGCTGAGAGCTGGGTTTCCCAGGCGTGGGGTTTGGAGGTGTGGTGTCTAACTAAGGTGAGAAAAGGCTGCAGTCCTGGGGCTTATGGCTCCGGGCAGAGGTCCTGCTGTGACTGCCACAGGTTCTGAGCCCTGTGCGGCAGGGACCGCGGGAGCCACGACCACAACAGCCCTGGCAGGTGCTGATCGCGTGTCACTGAGTTCAAGTCCCTGGAAGGGCCGAGAGCCAGGCTTGGGAAGCTCCCCACGTGGTGCTGGGACCCGCAGGGCCTGGGTCGGGTACAGACCCGGCTCTGGGCCCAGACAGCTGGGCCACAGCCAGGTGCAGGGGCGCCGAGCAGGGAAGGCAGGACCTGCAGGGCGCCCCGGTTAGAAAGTGCGTTAGTGGGGGCGGGGGCTCTGGTCCCCCTCTGACTCTCGCAGGACAGGAGGCAGCTGAGCAGGTGCAGCCTCGGGATCCCGGTTCCTGGGTGCTTCTCAGTGAGAAAGCCGTTTGTAAACCTTCAGATCAATGCTTTGTGTTCTCGGCAGGCACTTTTCCACGGAAAGTTCATCGACACTGGCTTCTCCCTGCCCTTCTACAAGCGCATGCTCAGTAAAAAGCTGACCATCAAGGATTTGGAGTCCATTGACCCTGAGTTCTACAACTCCCTCATCTGGATAAGGTTGGAAGGGTTATCTTTCTCAAGGCCTTTTCTGGAAACCAGTTTGTTTGTCTTGTTAGTCAGAGTGTATGTATTTTCACCACCAGAGACAACAACATTGAAGAATGTGGCTTAGAAATGTACTTTTCCGTGGACATGGAGATCTTGGGAAAAGTGACCTCGCATGACCTGAAGCTGGGAGGTGCCAGCATCCTGGTGACCGAGGACAACAAGGACGAGTACATTGGGTGAGGCTCCCACAGCACCCGACCGCACTGGCACTAACCTGTCTGCACCCCGGCTCCCCCCGGCTCCTCTGGGAGCACCCAATCACCCCGCGTTTTCCTTCCCTTCCCTCTCTCCGTGGCACTGGTAGGCGCTCAGCAGCACTCGAGTTCCCGCCCTGCAATCACTCCTGCCTCTTGTGTCCCTCCCCATGGCCCCTGGCTGTGCCCCTGCCAGTCAGTGCTCAGCCCATGGCCTCCACCTTCCCCACAGGAGAGCGAGGCTTTGTGGGGGTGACGTGTCCGCCCTGACTGACCAGCAGGGCTCATCTCCCGGGGCATCTCACCTGCCCTCGTGTTCTGTCCTGTCAGGTGCTCCCGCACCGTTTCAGGCTGTCCTCTTGAACTCTGACCCCACAACTCCCCCTGTGCCACTTGCTGTCAGTGGTGCTGCCCTCCCTCCCCTGTGCCGCGTCCCACCACAGCTTCTGTCCCAGCTTCTTCCTTCCAGCTGCTCTCGAGGCGTCAGCTCCCGCCCCCCCGCCTTGTTCTGTGCGAGTCCTCGCTGAACCCCAGAAACGGTTCCATTTGCAGCCAGGTGAACGCAGACTTTTCCAGGGAACAACCGGCCCCTGACTCTTCAGGCTGCGCCCACACAGCCCGCCCACCACAGGGCCCTGCGGGAGCCCAGGCAGCCTGGACAGGAGACAGGAGACGCCAAGTGCACACAGCAGCTGGCTTTCATCGGGTTTCAAATCATGGACTATTATTCTTTTCAAAGTTTTCACCATTGTTTAAATTAAAAATGTAAAGACTGTTGAGCTCACACGCTGTACAAAAGCAGCTCACAGGCCGATGGCCCGGCCCTGCACCGCTCCTGGCCCACAACCAGCGCTTTTCTCACTTGCTCTCCCACCGCCTCCTGGGCCTGTTTCTAGTCCTGGCCCGGCCCTCCTTCCGGACTTGGATTCTCGCTGTCCTCCTTGCTCCTCCTTTGAGATCTTTCGTGTTTGCTTTTTCTTCTTATATATATTTTTTTATTTGTATTGATTTCAGAGAGAAGGAGAGATAGACACTTCAATGATGAGAGAGAATCATGGATCAGCTGCCTTCTGCACACCCCCCACTGGGGATGGAGTCCACAACCCGGGCATGTGCCCTGACCGGGAATCAAACCCTGACCTCCTGGTTCATAGGTTGACCACTGAGCCATGCCTGCCAGGCCATTTTTGCTTTTTATAATTGTTTCCAAAATGGGATCATAGAGTATACATTACTCTGTAGCTTGCTTTTTCCACCTCAGGAGAGCTGGATTCACTCACTTTTTTTTTGAATCCTCACCTGAGGAATGTTTTTATTAATTTGAGAGAGAAAGGGGGAGGGAGGGAGAAACATTGACTGACTGCCTCCTGTATGTGCCCCGATGGGATCAAAACCACGACCTGCACAAGTGCCCTGACCAGGATCGAACCCGCAGCCTGTGGTGCATGGGACGATGCTCAACTAACTGAGCCCCTGGCCAGGCTGCGTCGCTTTCTGATCGCGAGGGAAATCACAGTTGTCCACGCTGCATTCCTCGGTGTCACTCCAATCAGGTCTAGCTCGGGCCCCTGCAGACCAGCGCATGGGCGCAAGCCCAGCCCTGCCGCTCTGTCCCCCAGGGAGTTCCTGGTCCAGGACTGGAACAGACAGGCCGTGGGCTCTCTTCTTACCCTGCAGTCATTAGGGTCCTGTGCCCCCTCCTCCTATCCCAGTGTCTGTCCCAGGTCACTCACAGCCTCCCTTCCTCTGAGCGGGCGTCCCCTGAGGCGACTGCTGTCCCTGTGCTGGGCCTTGTAGCATCGTCACTCCCACTCCGAGAAGAGCAGTCGGAGCCCCGTGGGTGCAGCTGGGCAGAGTTGAGGGCCTAGTCACAGAGGAAGGGAAGTTTGGAGGCAGCTGAAAGGTTGCCTTGGAAACGAGTCAGCCCTCCTCCAGCAGCAGGGGAGGTGAGAAGCAGGGCCACGAGGCTGCTTCCCGCCCTGGCCAGTGTGCCTCCTCTTGCCGCCCTCCACAGCCGCCTGTCTCCTCCAGTGCTCTGTTCCTCCTTCCATGGTTTCTCCTCTGGATGTTAGGAAACCTCCAGGCTCTCCAGGAAATCAGTGTGGGGCTCTAACAGGGACACACGTCTGGCCCAGCACGTGCCCTGCTGTCTCTGTGGAGGTCTGAGTCAGGAGGAGGGCCCTCTGGTGGCCACACCTGGTATTCCCCCCACCCCACCCCGGCCCTCCACGCTCATGCCTCCTGAAAAGCACCCTTTACAGCTGCACATGTGCTGGCCCTGATGTCCTCAAGGAGTGGACGTGTTAACTCAAAAACTGCACACGTACACACGTGTGTGGAGGGTGTAGAAGTGCTGGTGTTCTAAGCCTCTCCCACACAGCGGCCTGTCTGACCCCTCTCCACAGGCTGATGACCGAGTGGCGCTTCTCGCGTGGCGTGCAGGAGCAGACGCAGGCCTTCCTGGACGGCTTCAACGAGGTGGTGCCCCTGCAGTGGCTGCAGTACTTCGATGAGAAGGAGCTGGAGGTGAGGCTCCGGGATTGTGTCCTGGGAACGGGAAGGGTCTTGGCTTCCACAGAAGCACGTCCACAGGTTCTGGATGCTGCGGCACAGCCGGACCCGTCTCCCCCGCCGGCGGCCCTGCCAGGGTCTCCCGCTCTCCAAGCCGAGAGGGCTGGGCAGTCAGCAGCCAGGCGCAAGGGGCCTCCCCGGTGCAGCCGCGTGCCTCGTGGGGGGCCTCCTGAAGGCCTGGTGTAGCAGCGAGTGATCGGATTTTATTTTATTTTTATTGATTTCAGAGAGGGAGAGGGAGAGATACGTAGAAACATCAATGATGAGAGAGAATCATTAATTGGCTGCCTGGAGCCTGCAACCCAGGCATGTGCCCTTGACTGGAATCGAACCCAAGACCCTTCAGTCCGCAGGCCAATGCTTTAGCCACTGAGCCGAAGTGGTGAGGGCTGTAGGCATTCTTTCTATCAGCTGCATACCAGACTTTTGTCAGAGTAACTTTTCCAATTAAGTATGTTCCCACGGTTCTTTGCTCTTCCTTAAAGAGGCGGAGGCCTGTGTGTGTTCTCTTTGTTGCTGGACTGCTGCCCTCAGATACTCAGGCCTCCTTCAGTCACTGTCCCAAAGGCCCTTTTTGTGAGCTGGTCCTAACACATCCTGTTTGAAAGAGGCACCCCTTCTGCTTTCTCTGCATGGCACACCCCAGAGGCCAGCTGTTTGTTTACTGTCTCCCTATGTAGAGTAGTTCTGAGCAGGATGAGCCCAGCCATAAAGAATAAGCAATACAGCCTGCTTGGACTGCCGCATACATTCAGGGACGACAAACCACATTTCAGAGCCTGGTACCTGAAGAGGTTGATTTCATTCCATACCCAAAGCCAATCTCCGAGCGTGGTCCCCTCTAGATCCTCCCTAAATGGCCGCACCGAGAGCAAGGAGGAAACAGTCCCACTTGCCCCAAAAAGAACTATTGAATCTCAACCAGCGGAGACGTGTCGAGTTCATCTCAGCCAATGCTTTGCACAGGAACGAAGTGATGATGTCTCGTCCAAGACCCAGCAAGGGTTGGGGACACAGCTGAGACTCGCACCCAGCCCTCACCTTCCGACCCTCGGACCCTTTCAGCCCCCCTCACCAGAAGTGGCTGACAGACGGAGCCTCGGCTCTCCTTCCCGTCCACTGACGGGCCTCGAGCTGGGGAAGAAAGGTCTGCGGGAGGGCCCAAGGATCCAATTTTAAAGTCATGAGTTCCTAGCGGCCTCAGCTGCACTTAGACTTGTTAGAAGCCTGCCCGCACATAACTCAAACTTGCCATCTCGGCCACTGGTCCGTGTTCACATGCTCACAGTATGACACAGCAGATGGCCAGAACTTCCATCCTGAAAAACCGACGCCCATTAAACACCTCCATTCTCACACTCCCCAGCCCTAGCACCCTCTGCTTCCTGCCTGCCGGCTCTTGCCTGCATAAATGAATAAGTGTGTTTTTAAGGAAATTTGAGCATACATTTTAAGAAAGCAGAAATTTGTTTGAAACTCATCAATAACTTGGGCCCCTCATTTAGGGTGTTTACAGTAGCATAGCTGACTGTTTTCTTGAAGTTGCTCTGGTTCAGTAAGCATGGCTAAGCTAGCGCAGACCCTGCCGGATAAAACGCCGCGAGGCTGCGGGCGTGTCCCTGCGGCCTGACGGAGCCCCGCCCCCAGGTGATGCTGTGCGGCATGCAGGAGGTGGACCTGTCCGACTGGCAGAGGAACGCCGTGTACCGGCACTACACCCGCAACAGCAAGCAGATCGTCTGGTTTTGGCAGGTGACTGCTTTATTTGTCTAAAACGGTACTCGGGGTGCTTTCTAGTGAAACTGGTTTAACTGCAGCTGGCTTCCGACGTGACCAGTGTGACCATGCGGTCAAGCTGGCTGGCTGTGTCCTGGGTGAGAGTGAGTGAGTCACAGGCCCACCAACTTCAAAGTCTTCTCCAGGTTCTGTGAGTGCAGGAGGAGGTGTTTATGAGACAGTCTGGGGACACTTAGGTGACACGAGGTGACCGTGTGCTCAGCGTTAGAGCGCCCACGGGGCAGGGAGCTCTCCCCTCTGCCCTCGGCTCTGGGCATCCACGTCCCACGTCCTGATCTTGAATAGACTTTTGTTTTGTGTGTATTTCCAAATATAAAGCGTCGGCACCGGGACAGACTTCACCGAGCCCCAGACTGGGCTGGTGTCCTGCTCCGTCCCCGGTGCTTGTGTTACTAGAGAAAGGCTGTCCTAAGGGCTTGGGTCACGTTTACTGCTTAATACTTTGCAGACGTGGACACTTGTAGAAAATGATCTTAAAGATACATTTTGACGTGCACAATGGCACCTCCCAGAGCATTTGTTGCAGCGTGGTTGGCACACTCACACTCGGGCAGAGGTGACCCTGAGGGTGTGGGGAGGGGGCTGAGCAAATAAACTAACTTGCCCGTTCTCAGCGCTCTGCCTGGAGCGGCTCCTCAGTGCAGGGGACGGGGACACTGGAGACAGTGTGCAGAGCCTGGGGGGAGGGTGGTCGTGTTTGGCTCAAAGGACCCTCCTGCAGAAGAGCCTCGGGGGATGGGAGCAGGCAGCTGAGGCTGAGGGGCACGACTGCCCTTGCCCCCTGTGACCCTTGCCCTGAGCGCCAGGTGGCCTTTGTCATCCCTCAGGCTCATTCCAGCCCTTGGTGTGCGCCTGAGAAGCTCAGCCCAGGCTTCCTAAGGCCCCGTGACTGTCTCCTGGATGGGCTGGTGTTGGGGACAGTGTGAGGTTTACACCAGAGCTGCTCACAGCGGTTCCTTGTCTGATGAGTATGTCGGCCACACAGCTGTGCACGGCCACACAGTGGCTGGATTGACACGTGTCTGCTCCCACCTCTGGTGAGACCAGCTCAGAGGGGTGACCACACCTTGCTGCTCTGTGGTTGGTGAACTAGATCACTCTGGGTTTCCAAGTCTGAAGGACAAAGGGGGATCGGTGTTGGGAGGAAGTTGTTCCGAACCGGCAGGGCCATGGTTCAGAGGTTACACCTGCCCTTCCTGGCGTTGGAGGAGGACACATCATTTTGCCTCTGGGCCTTGTCTGGCGAGTGCAGTGGGGATGCTAACGGGAGGACCCGCCTCCCAGTATTGAGGGCTGCTCTCCCCAGAAGCACATGGCGCCGTGCGGCAGGACCTCCCCTCCGAGAGGGAAAGACCTGGGTCCCGTGACGGCGTTTCTAAGCGTCCACGTCTCCGTAGTGTTGCTAGCACAGCGCCAGCCCTAATAAGCGGTAAATGCTGCAACCACTTTTATCACATCTTTTGAACCAACTTGAGTTAAATTTTCTTATTCTTGGAGTTCATTTTTTAAAAATACTTTGAAATATATTTTTATTGATTTCAGAGAGGAAGGGAGAGGGAGAGATAGAAACATCCATGAGAGAATCACTGATCGGCTGCCTCCTGCACACCCCACACTGGGCCTGCAATCAGGGATGTGCCCTGACCAGGAACCAAACCATGACCTCTTAGTTACAGGTCCACACTCAACCACTGAGTACCGGCTGGGCTTGAAGTTCATTCTTAATTTCCTGGAAGAAATTCGGGAATAATTTTTAAGTATCTGCTATGTTCATTACTGAAGATAATCTGGAATTTACTTTACATTAACTTTGACCTGTCAGTTTGTGAAGGAGACGGACAATGAGGTGAGGATGCGTCTGCTGCAGTTCGTCACGGGGACCTGCCGCCTGCCTCTGGGAGGCTTCGCCGAGCTCATGGGTGAGTGCCGCCTGCGGTCGCTGTCACAGGGCGTGCTCGGGCGGGAGGAGGGAGCAGGCCTCTAGATCCTGGTCTTTGTGCAGATGTGACGCTTGCTCCATCGCCCGCGTGACCACGTGACATGTTCTGTTAGGTAAGTAGTTGCAACACCAAAAGGTTTGAAGGACCAGATAAATTTTGTCTTATTTTTCTGGTTTAGGAAGTAATGGGCCTCAAAAGTTTTGCATTGAAAAAGTTGGGAAAGACACCTGGTTACCAAGAAGCCATACGTGGTAAGTTGAATCCTAAATGGAAGGTGGAAGCCAGTGTTTTGCTTTTTCACATGTAAGACCCATTAGCATTGCTGACTCATTAGCGTAGGAGGAGTTCAGTTTTGAGAACAGACCAGGACGCAGCGCCCTGCAGAGAGCACAGCGCGGCTCCTGGCTGAGCGCCTGGGAAGCATGGCCCTGCCTGAGCCCGTGGGCGAGCAGCCACTGCACACAAACAGGCTGACGTGCTCCTCCTCCCGCTCCTGGGAAAGGCGCACAGACAACAGCCAGGCAGCAGTGCTAGGGAGGGGTGACAGCCGGCCGGGGCAGGACCCTCGGCAGGGCCTTGCCAGAGTTTGATGGACAGTGGGCTGTGGAGACGCAGGAAGCACATGTTTTGTACAGGGTTGTTTGCAAACCCTGACGTAAGCAACTGCAAACATGAGGTGACTTGGGAGCGGAGCAGGGCAGAGGGGGAAGGGGGCGGAAATGCAGGCAGGGCCACTGCAGGGCCAGCCTGTGTGGACTGGAAGGGAACAGACCGCTGTCAGAACGGTGTCTGTGTTAATACATGAGGTCCGTGTCGTACACTTGGCCACCCCTGTCCTTTTCTAACGTGCTTCAAGGACACTGTGCTCGACCCTCGGCTCACTTGACTGAATAATCTGATTCTGTCTGTCCAGTTTCAATCGCTTGGACCTGCCACCGTATAAGAGTTACGAGCAACTGAAGGAAAAGCTGCTTTTTGCCATAGAAGAGACCGAGGGGTTTGGACAAGAATAGAGGAGCTGTGGCCGGAGGCTCTGCGTCCGCACCTCCGCAAATATAAATGGTTCCGTTCTCACACAGAATATGCAAAAGAACTCTTCCTTTTCTACTTTATTTATTGTTCCCTTGAACTGACAGACCAGGAAAACGATCTCCCTTAAATTTGGAAGTGAGAGACTTTATTAGAAATGAGTATCTACGTCAGCGGGCTGCAGCGGCTCTAGTTTTATAGAGCTGCTCGGCGACACGCCAGCTCCTGCCCATGACTGGAGGCTCCTCCTCAGCTCTGCCCCCCGTGACATCTCCGCATGGTGTGGGGTTCAGGAAGGTGCTGAGGCCGAGGCCAGATCTGAGGATGTGAACTGTGCTGCTGGCTGTTCTGAAGACGGTGCTGGAGCCCGTCAGTCTGTTCCAATTAAATGCGAGTGGAGAGTGCTCACCGCACTTAACCGAGTCCCCTGACCAGACCCAGCGAGGGCCTGGAGGTGTGCGTACTCCTCCAGGCGCTAGCATCTGTGGGACTGAAGACGCGGGCGCGCCTGCACTGTTCTTAAAAATGTGATGGGCTTTCAGTTTAATTCATAATAAATTGATGCCATTTGATCCTGAGGGACATATAAAAGGTAATGTGAACTTTTCCACTTCTATTTGTGTTCATAGTTTTGGTTCCTAAAACCATACGGATGGAAGAGTTTGTGAGCATCTGACTTCAAACTAATGAGTCTAATGATTTCCTATTAGTGTCTTAATATCTCCATTCCTTGAAAATTCATGAAAAATTCTATGTACCTGAATTACATAAGCAGATAAAAAAGTCTTTTGTCCTTCCCCCCTTTCTATATAGATCATTATTTTTGTCCTAAGTAAATACTTTTTAATTATTTTTCATTATCAAGGGCATTTGCTGAACTACAAACATGTATAACAAATTAAAATCTGATGTGAATGACATTAATGCTACTTTAGCAAACGGGGGCTTCCTTATTAATACAAAAATTTAAATTTGTATTATTTCAATATGCACTGTAAATTAACTTAAAATTTTTTATAACCACGGAAGTGACACCTTAGAATGTTAATATATTTCACTGCTGAGTACATATGAAAAATATTAGTATACAATTTAATTTCCCTAAACAGTTTGTGTTGCCAAAATTTTATTTTTCTATATATTACATTGTGTTCTGCATTTTTTCAAAACTCACAGTAAAGATGCAATAAAGGCAGTGATCCACGTGGCTGCTTAGACTCCTTTCCCCACCCTCACCATGACCGTGTACACGACAGAGGGCCCGTCCCAAGCGCCGCTCCTCTACGCCGCCCACTGTGGCCCCTGGTCTCACTTGGCCCCAATTCACAGGCCAACCCTGAGGCCCTGGGGGAGGTGGCCTGTCCAGACCCAGCAGAGCCCCCTCCAGAGGCTCCTCTGGGCAAGCTGCACCCTCCTGTCAGACAGCTCCCGCCAAGTGAAGGACATTTGTCACATGAACCCACGGCTCTCACCAAAGTCCAGTGATGCCCAGGCACACAGCCAACACAGGGCTAAAGTGAGCACCCCTCGAAAGCAAAAAATGCCACCAAAAAACTGTCCAAACGCGGCGTCTCCTACATGGCAATGCTCCTCGCCCGATGTTAGCCAGGGGCACAGGCTGACAGACACTGGCGCTGCAGTGCTCACTGGGCCCAGCTCCCTCCTCGGCTCCACGGTGGTGGGGTTTCCTGTTTCCCTTGCTGTGATGACGCACTTGCTTTCGAGAGAGGAGAGGGAGTCGGATAGATTCCCACAGAATTCCACCCATGTCAACAGGAGGGAAACTGCCAACAAGAAGTTGAGACGTTCAGGTTCTCACAGAACAGCAGGCCCTTTGCAAGTTCAGATTCTTGTCAGCCTCAAAAGAAGGGAATGTGTCTGCAGGGAGGTCGCTAACCACCCGCCCCCGACAGAACGGGCACTCCTGCGCCCACAAGGGGAAGGAAGGAGCCCGAGGCAGGGCCGCCAGGGGGGACATCTGGGTCCGGAAGCAGGTAGAGGTCTGACCTGAGGGAAGGGTGGGCATCAGTCTCCTCAGAGTCAAAAGGAAGAGACAGAAGGTGTACAGGACCGAGCGAGCCGGGAAGTGCCTCGTCCTGGGGGAGGGAGCCCCCTCAGTCCCGAGGGAGGAGACAGCTCTGGCTCTGGCTTGGGCCCAGCAACCGCACAGCTGAGCTCTACCCCAGAGCCATGTGGGTCCCTAAGGTTACAGCACCAAAGACCCCCATGGCCTGATGCCTTCAAGGGATTAGGTTAAATGAACGGGAACAACAGACAGTGAAATAGTCAATGAAAGGAAAGGAAGCACTGACTGAATTTAGACGGATCTCAAAGAAATTCTGAGTGAACAAAGCCAATCTCCTGAAATGACAAAACTAGAGCCCAAGTCGGGGAGGGGGCGCGGAGTGGGACTCGGACACACCAGGGAGCAGGGAGCTCTGTGAGTGCAGGCTGGCTGTCTCCCAGTGCCCAGCTGCGGGCAGACTCGCTGTTACACTGGGCACGCGAGGCAGACGCACAGCCTCTGCACTACTTTGCACAGAGAAAACAATAGTTGAAAGCTCTACAGAACATCAGCAGACAGACTTCTCCGCAGCAAAAGGCTTTATTACTGAGCAATACCTCACTTCCCAGAGACCACTCGGCAGAGGGCAGTCTGCCCACGCCCCACCCCCCACGGCTCACCTGTTAATCCCAACAAGGGCTCCTCTTCAGAAAGCAGCCTCAGAGCCACTCCAATGAAAGTGTAAACAACGTTGGACAGAGAAGATCCAACATACACAACCAACCGGGCGTGAAGGGCACGGGACCACTGGTTCTCAAAGTAGGTTCCGTAAGGTCCATTGAACAAGGGACAATCTAAGACTGCTGGCCTGGCCACTTCACACAGTCACTGCTAAGAAAAAAGATGAGCCCTAACCGGTTTGGCTCAGTGGATAGAGCATCGGCCTGCGGACTCAAGGGTCCCAGGTTCGATTCCGGTCAGGGGCATGTGCCTTGGTTGCGGGCACATACCCAGTAGGGAGTGTGCAGGAGGCAGCTGACCTATGTTTCTCTCTCATTGGTGTTTCTAACTCTCTATCCCTCTCCCGTCCTCTCTGTAAAAAATCAATAAAATATAAAAAAAAAAAAAAAAGATGGGAGTGTTTCGTATTTCACAAACTATAGATGGGAAATCAAATGCAAGGTGTGACATTTGCATCCTGGCTTTAAAAAGTGTAAGACATTGTGACATTTGAGGACACTTAAAGGTCTGGGTATGAGATGATGAGGGGGGACTGGGTTAAGGTTCTAGCTGTGGTAATGGACTGTGAAGGGGTCTGTATGATGCAGTGTTCGGGATGAACTACATCGTGTGCACTTAATTCAAGGATGAGGGATATATATGACCACACACACACACACACGCACGGAGGCAGAATCTACGTGTGACCACACACACACATAGGCAGAATCTACATGTGATCACATAGACACAGAATCCACATGTGATCACACACACACACACACACACACACACAGGCAGAATCTACATGTGACCGCACACAGAGAGACACAGTCCACTGTTTCCCTTCGTGTTTGAGAGCACACATGAGACACCGCGTGCCCCAGTCACAGGGACACCACCCCTAAACCTCGGGGAGTCACCCATGGACCCTCATTCAAGATGGTCCTTTTCACAAACAGCAGACAGTGCCGGGGGCACCAGCCCGAGGACACAGCATCGTCTGCCTCTGTTTAAACATGTCCCATTCCTCCCTTGAGCTGTGTTCTTTTTACCCCATCAGGGAACAGACCTGGGCTCTGTCCTGTCACAGACCACCCGCTGTGAGACAAAGTCCCAGCATGCACAGAGACCCACCTGGGCTCCCTCCCGATACATCACTGATGCCCAGCACCCCAACTCCCAACCTCCTCACCCCACTGCCCCTTCTCTGCAGGGTCTCAGCTGGAGCCACCAACTGGAAACATGCCCCTCCATCCCATGTGATTGGTTCTCAAATGCCATGCCTGGAACGCTGGCACCCCAGACGCACAGTAACCGGCCCCCCACCACGGGACACCGCCACCACCTCACAGCAGTTACTGCTTCTGCCTTGTTATTTGTGAAGAATCTGTGTATTTAAGTTGTCACATGGTCACGTCATTGGCACTGAGAGCCGAGGCCAGTCGTGTTCACACGCGTACAGTTGGTGGGAGGGCAACACCCTAGGTGTCGTGCGCTGCGTCTCTGAAATGCTCAGTTCTTGCCACTGAACTCTGCGAGCAACTGTGCGGCTTCTCTCTGCATCTAAAACGAAAAGACAGACGGCACAGCAGAGATCAGCTGTGGAATTCAGGGTCACCGTGGACTGCAGTTTCTGTGTCCACACCCAGGACGGCAGGTCATCAGGACAGAATGTCTGGGCAGTGCCTGGGGAGGTGTTCAGACTTCCACAGAACACCCCCTCCCCCGCCCGTTTGTCACACAGGAGTGACTCAGGATTGCAGCAAGGAATTCATAACGTGCCGACAGTAACTAAGCATTTGCTGTGCAGAACTTAGCACAAACGCCAGTGCTTCACGTCTGAAACGTGCACCACCGCTTCCAACACGCTGCACCACACAGCGAGGCTGGGCCTCGCCTCCCGCCTCCCGCCGCTGCGGGCGCACCTGCTTGTCCTCCTCGGTGCGGGCCGGATAGTCCTTGGCCTTCAGCAGCCAGAACGCAGCGAGCTTTTTGTTCTGTAGCTTCAAGTATGTCTTTCCTAAGAGAAGCAAGTTTTTGCTGTAGAAGTTTGGATCCACTGTTCACAAGAAAGAAAAATGTATCTCAGGCACAATCGTATTGCTCTGATTTTTACCACCCGCCCCCGACAGGCTTCCTGTTGGGGGTCTGAATTCCAGTTACCTGTGTGGTGAATAAATGACTATCCAGCTGGGAACCTCCTGTTCATCTGTTCCTACCTCCAGACAATGTCACAGCTAATCCGGAGCACCTCCGGGTGCGGCTCCCGCTGCGCACTCTCCCTCGCGGCCTTTTCTATGCAGGCGCTGGTCCAGGCTCCCAGCACAGGGCCTTCTCCCAGTGCCTGCCCCCTGCTCACCTTACAAGCTAGAACCTAACATGCACTCAGCACGCGTGAAGTCATGACCACACACACACACACACACACACACACACACACACACACACAGTACACGCCAGGCCAGCTTGTGCTGGGTGGGGCTACCCTTAAGCACAGATCAAACACAAGCTCTGCTCTTTGGGAATTTACAATGAAAAGGCCAGAGAAATAGGAGCACGATGAGTGTGCTGAGCAGGGAAGAAGGCGCCAACAGGTGTGAGCTGTAAAGTGCGAGGAGACACAGGAAGAGCCGCTCCCTCGCGGGGCTGCACGGGCTGCGGCGGAGCCGGGTTGCGCAGGAAAAGGAGACCCGTCCTGCTGAGGGAACCCCCAGCACCACGTCTACCAATGAAAGTGGGATTCCTTACAGGTCCCCTCTCACCTGGGCCCTCGGTGCTCACATCCCACTTCTTCCTGGTGGCTGACCTCCGTCCGTCTGCTCCTTACCCTGTTGTCCTGCTTCCTTCGCACAGACTTAGGGGCATCTGCCTGCGGCTGTGCTCACTTCCTCCCGTGACCGTGACCCACACTCCTTCCTTCCTCTCTCGCTCAGCAAAGGGGCCCAGAACAGGCCAGCCAGCCCCACCTTCCCTGCAGGTAGCCTCAGAGGCACCCAGCACTCCGCTGCGGCAGGGCCCTGGCGGGGAAGTTAAAGTCCGAGGAGAGAGGAGACTTCTAGCCCAGTCATGGCCAGGAGGAAAGGC